TTGGTCATCACAGAAAAACAAGGGGATGTAATTGCACATCTATTTTCCTATTGTAACTCTCAGTGCAAGGGATCTGCTAGTACTACAGAAAACGATTAAATATTGGGTGTAATGGTAATATTACGTTATCTTTATACGTGATATTATTATTTAATAATAAATTTACAAATAGACAACGTAAACCTTGCTCAGATGGTTATTAAATGACTTGGCAATGTGATTACTAAATTATGTGGGATCCACTTGCTTATTTATTATATTTTTATTGAATAGTGACATCACATATCAATAAAAATGTAGTATCACTATTACACCCAATATTTTTTTTCCTCCATTAGGCCAATGGTGGACATTATATGTCCTCAATTATGATGTTTCACATATTGCACCTCTAATTATAGTTTCTACTTTATATTATCCTAATTTCAAACATCCATTATAAATTGAACAAAATATTTTACCGCTTTGCCCCTAAACTATGAGATTTTGTTTCATTTTGCTCCCAGTATCTAACGACGTATCGACATTAAGTCAATTGTTTTAGACAATGCAAAATCAACTCAATTGTTGAGAGATAATATGAGACACTCAATAGTAGAAAAATTGACGTGAGATTGAAACGATAATCTAAGGATAAGAATACAAAGTGTAATTTCTCGTAAGAATTATCAATTTCCCCCTATTGAAAGACACCTTAATTTATGAAGCAAACAAAAAATATATTCTCATTACATCATATATATATGCTTTAGAATGCTAGCCATTAAAGGCTTTTAAAGTCCACCATCTAGTAACCTCCACCACATAAAGGCATTCAAATGTCCAATTAAAACAAAGTATAATTACTCACTTAAATCATATAAAAATCCAATTAAATCATAAATTAAAAGTGATCCATTAAAACATATAAAATAAATTAAATGAGAAATTTTAAAACTTTTATTTTTCAACAACATTTAAAAAGAAAAGTAGAAGCAGAAGTGCAAGGACTTTGGCGTGAGTGGAACTCGCGCGTGAGTGGTTTCAGTCATTAGTTCGAAATAGGTAAAATTTTTGAAACAATTTGGGATGCGAAAAGCTCAACATAAGTTTATGTCTTTGTAATATTCAAAATATTTTGTTCCTTAGTATATAGATTATAGAGATTTGAGTGTTGGAGAGCTCGGTTTGGAAGGGATAAAAGGGGGAGAAAGAACTCTTATTTTTGTTGAGAGTGGTAGGGGAGTGATTGAAGGCGTGAATAAGGGTAAACAAATATGAAAACTTTTAGGCGGGCAAAAAAAAAATTCAAGACTCATTTTAATCTATTGGATTAACTATATTAAAATAATTTAAGCCGTTTTTTATGTTAAGTTATCGTTGTCCATAAGATGAAATGAGCCTTTTTTGTTTTTGGGATTTCAAAATCCCTTCTACTTTATTATATAAATAAAAGTTAATCTCACTTTTGCACTCTGAATAATGCTTTGAATCTTATTTTACACCCTCAATATTATGATTTAGTAGTAATGTGGTTCTCGCCCAAACTATTATTCAATTTTTCGTCATAAATTGAAGCACGCTAGTTGTAGGTGTTTCGGGCAGGTGCTTATGTGTTAATTCACAAACTATTAGTACCTCATGTGAGTTATACATAATAGGGTTAGCCTCTATTTGATTGATGAAACTCTATTTTCAATACAAAATGATCTCAAATTGGTCGCTGATGAAGATTTGCAGCGGTAGACATACCTCATTTTCATGTCCGAGGTACTTGACCCTCACGTATTTTAATTTATGACAAAAAAAATGAATGGCGGTCTCGTTCAGGTCGATATTACTGCCAATTTATTACATTAAAAGTGTAAATTAAAATTTTAAATATTTAAATGTACAAATTGAGGATTGAAATATCTTTCGGGTTGCAAGTGAGATTAGACCTATCAACAATCATTTACACGGGAAGATGGGAAAGGCATGCTACCATCATCAAAAAGAGACAAATAGAAAAGAAGAACAGTACACAAAAACAATGAAAACACTGAAAACCAAGGAGGGAGGGAGGGAGAGAGAGAGGTCCTCTTCACAAGCATCAACCACAACAAAAGCATGGAGTACCAACGTGATTTCATAGCTAAATTATCCTACTCTGCAGCCATGGCAGTCAGCAACACGAGCATCATTATCGTTTTTAGTATGATCTTCTTCGCGGGTCATCTCTTTTTCAAGCACCACCACCATGGCCACCACCTTCCTGCCTTAATCCACCACCGCAACAAGTGCCAAACCCTATACTGCTCGATATGCCTCCACGATGTAGCCGGAGGCGAGAGTTACAGGAAACTGCCCAAGTGCCACCACTGCTTCCACGTTGACTGCATCGACGCCTGGTTTCAATCCAATTCGACATGCCCATTATGCAGAAGCCAAATACCTCATCTTCCTCAGCAGAAACAGGGCAGTTTTTCCTCTTATTTGCCCTCGCTTTCTCTCAATTTTCTCAGGAGAATGGGTGAGTCTCCGAATTATGAGCTTATTTTCCCCGATATTTTCTTTTTCCTTTGAATAAATATTGAGTCTAACGATGATACCACATCAAAATGACAGAGATCATCAACTAATTATAAAATAACAAATATAATTTGTGAACTCCACTATTCTAACGTGAGGTAGTTATTAGTAGTTAGTAAAACAATAGAGTCCACTAAGTTTACTTGCGATTCTATCATTAGTTTGTTACACCACATCATCAATGTCTGTGGTGTCACCGTTACGTCCAATATTTCTTTTCTTTCTTAGAGGTGTTCTTTTCATTTTTCAATGTTTTTCTTAAAAAATTTTTATCATGTTCCTTATGCATCCACTTGTTATTTTAATTTTTAATTCAAATGTAAATAATCTTTTTTTGTAGAATAGTTCCTAAATCCCAACATTGACAACAATTAACATTTCACTTACAATATCAATCACATCATAACCAAATCAAACAACAACAACAACAACAACGCAATACTCAGATTAAAAATTCATAAATTTTACTAATAAGTGTATAGATATATACACATATAAACCTATAAATAGGATGGATTTATACAAAATAAACGCTACTTTTTGCTTGTTTGCTTTTTATTTAAAAAAAATATAAAGTGAAAAAAAATACTTTAAAAAAAATTACCAAATGGTGTCATTTTCGCCATATTTTACCCAAATTAGAGCTCTGATCTCAAGTTCCTCTATGCCCAAGGGCGGAGCCAGAAATCTTCTCTAATGGGGGCAACAATGGTCAAAATTTTAAATGTTCACAAAAATATATTTTTATTAATAGAACGTCAATTAAAAGTACAACTCATATACATGAGCGATATAGAAAAAGAGCCAACAAAAAGAAATAAATAGATCTTTAGACATTACATAAGTTGTTACAAAGTCCTAATCTATCTAGTTGTCACACCCTAACTAACTTGGATGCACAATGACGGATTTTGGTGGCACCTTGCACTAAAGCACGTCATGAGATGAAATCAAGGTGATGCGACTAAATGGTTCGACAAATTTGTGTTGACTATAGTAGCATAAGACCATTCGATTGAGCATGACAACACGTAGTTGACTCAATTAAGGCAATGTTGGTGCATGACTTCGAATTGCATGGCATAGGCTTGACCCAACATACAAACTTGTTCGTGGGTAAGGTTGGCTGCTGAATTATAGGCATATGGCTGCTCAATACATCTGACCAAGATGGCGTAGGTAGTTGTAGACATTCTTAGCCACAATCTGGTCTAGGTGCATGCAGTTAGAGTGGTTCCACATCACATGTTGAAAGGTGGAATTGTGTGGCAAGTGTCTCGCAGAAATGCAACCTTGCTGACCAAGTCTGCTAGGGAATAGACAGATTATTATAACAACCTCTTGATAGATGAGAGTGTCATATGTCATGTTCTTACATAAATAGAGGTGCCTGGACAATCTGAAGAGGCAACGAGTTCTTGCTTAGAGTTGAGTTTCCTTATAATTGTAGAGAGCTTTAGTATAAGATTTGAGAATGTTTTTCTAGTAAATTCGTGTGTTGTCCTTGTGTGAGTTTGTACGGCCCTATTTTCGAGTTTGTGTGGCTGGTTGCAATGAAAAACAAGTAGTACCCTGTGACACTAGTCATGATACTTGAACAACATGAGCAATGTATGGCGCAGCTAAGTAACATAAACCCATTTTTACTGAAATCAATATTTGAAAATGCATAAATTTGCAAGTCTACTTGGTTGGTGAAATTCCTACTTTATGCAATGTCATGTTGTTAGTTCAAACTCTCTCACCAAATCCCCTCCCCTTTTTCCTGTGATAGTGTGAATCATCGTTACATAGCCAAAAAAAAAAAAAACTGAAAACTACTCATAATGACAGTTTATTGACAAATAATTATTTCTGGAATCACTTTCTTATTTTTCATATGGCTATTTCAACTATGTGATACCTATCATTACTTGCTTTGCAGGACTTGACTATGCCGTCCTTGAAATTTTGGCTGAAGACAGTGGAAGAAATTTGACAGTCTTTTAATTGAAATTTCAAGCGGTATTTTTAGTCTACAATCAAGCTATATTGCATGACTGCGTATATCATAATTGGGAATGTATGACTGCAAATTTTGTTACTTCGAAAATTTTATGATTATTGCAGTGTAGTTTACTATAAGTTCTTGGATTTAATTATGCACCAAGTAATAAAATTGGACATCATTGCTTGAAGAATAGTTAATGATTGGGTAATCTTAGTTTAAGGAAGAAATAAATATTATGTTGACAAGAATCGGCATTTATTTGAGGTTTTTTGTTTATTACGTAGTGTATTTAAGTACGGACAATTACTAGGTCATCTATATAATAGAACATAAACCTTCTGAAAATAGTCCCCTTTTTTGTACCAAAAAACATGGAAATCATACCGATACTTCCTTGTTTCCTGATTGTAAAATAACAATAAAATCACCATCAATAAACAAGAAGAAAATAGATTTACATCTGGTACTCTCTCATTATATACAATAGGAATGCAAAAGGTAATGAAGACAATTGTGCATATATCCGAACGTAAAATAAATTAATGTGGACAAAAGAATAGGAAAAGGAAAAAAATACCTTTCATCAAAAAGCTGTTCTTATCTTATCAATGAAACCAAACGAGGAAAAATGCACTCACTATAAAGTTACTCTACATTTTAAGACAGCCTTCCAAGCCTATATATGTAAGCAGAGTAATGCTAGATCTGACTTAAAACAATGACCTGTTGATATGGCTGTTGAGATGTATATGCCACATCATCTAGTTTCCCTTTGGGTTGATGCGAGGAGTAAGGCTGCATATGTGGAATTTGGCGATGTCATTACTTTTGATGATGTGGCATATACATGTCAGCAACCATGTCATCAAGTTGTTGTTTTTAAATCAGATTTTTAAATATATCTAACATTACTCGTATAAGTATACAGGCCCCACACGCTTCCCTTTCATCGATGTATTCAAATATCATTTTCTGCCCCATGGGAAGCAACAACAGCCCTGGAGAAAGAAGAGTGAGGTCAACTAAGTTGACAAAATTAATGGAGTAAATGAAGCACAAATACAGGGTCTTGGCAGATGTTGAAAGTTGCCAAATAAATGACCAAGTTTATAAGCAAAGCAAAAGCATAGACAAGACGCGAAGGAAAAAATATGAAGTTTTACTAGAAGGGATGTGCATACCTTTGAATTGTCAGTTTCATAACGCTTCTGACCGTTGGAATAAGAAGTTTCAGTTGGCATGATAGGTACCTTCGTTCCTGCACCAACCTGTCTCTCCTCTCGCACTCTATTAAAAATGTGAGTGAACCCTTCAGCTGATGCAGGGTCACTCTCATTCCAATCACCGAATTTTGGAACAGCAGGGCTGCGATCAGGCTGCCATATTTGAATTCATGTCATACTCCTCAAAAATGAAGCATAGCAGATTTGTAAAGTGGGGGAGTAATGTGCAAGTGTGTGTAAGCATTTGTGCTAAGTTCAGAACATAGGTAAAGTGATATAGGAGGAAAAAACTCACAGTTTCATCACCGCGAGTAACGGATCTCAATCGGGATCTTCCAGGAGTAGAGGGAGCCAGGCCATGACTACCATCGGATGAACCCTTTCTCTCCCACGAGGGAGAAGAAACTCCAATGCCTTTGCCTCCAACCCTTCCCTGGTGATGTGGGTGTAATGGTGAGTGTTCAATGCTACGATCAGACCCCCCACCTTGCCGTGTGACTCTCCTAGGGGTATCGCCAGCGGTTGTGCCACCATGACAATGATGAGGTGAGTCAACATTGGCTCTTCGGCCTACAGTGTCATGACGCACTGGAGAATCAGTTGGCCTCCTCAGATCACCTTCGTCCCGGCTTAGGCGGCGCTCATCCTTTGGTCTTAATGCATCTGGGCCCTTTGGTGCCTCTGATTCTGACGTACTGCTTCCAGATCTTGCACCACCATACTGTTGACGAGATGAGTCAATTGCAGCATTCTGAGGCACAGTGTCAGGATGCAAAGGAGACCCACTCAATCCCCTTAGCTCACCATCTTCTCGGCTTGTGTGACGCTTGTGCTTTGACCTTATCGCCCCTGGTCCCTTTTGGCCCTTTAGTTCAGCCTCCTGATGCGAATGATCAGAAAACCTATCAGCATTATCTTGAGGATCATTTGGATTCATGTTACCACCTTTTCTGCCCTTCCTTGCATTATCAAAATAGGCAGTATAAGGGATATTTTCTTCACTTTCCCAGTTGCCAAATTTCGGTACTTGTGGGTGCTGATGCAAGAAGAAAGGACCAAGTTTATCAACACAGGCACAACAAACACAGACAACCATCAGATAAGCATACAAAGCACTGTCCATTAAATCAAAACGCAAGCTATGGTCTGTCTGATGTCGTAAATAAGTAAATCCACAAAATTTCTCAAACTCCCAATTGTGTTGTTAAAATTTGAAGAATTTTTCCATTTTCCTGAGTCTACCTTCAAAGCTTTTTCCCCTAGATATGATAGGACATTATCCAACTGCACTAAGAAAGCATATAATGACATTATTTTGCAGCCTTCTATCATCAATATTTTTTTGTTTACTTTACATACACATCCAAGCATTTCAACATTTTTTTTTTTTTTGGTAAGTAAGCATTTCTACATTAAAGATGTTTTATATCCTTCAATTTTGTAAATAATGAAAAATATAGGAGAAAAAAGTTGAGATACCCTTTAAAACTTCCCCGGCCAAAAAATCATCAACCAAATCTTTCCAGACTCCATAGCCACATCCATACAAACTAAAGCCTTGCCAATCTCTAGTCCATGACAACTATGCATCTTATCTATCTCTCACATAACTTGTGGATCAAAAAGCACAAGAAATGGCTGTAAACTTGGGAATGACTGACCTCTAATGAAACAGTGACTTCAGAATGTTTACAGCACTCACCGACAGTACCAAATATCTAGCTTCGGCTGAGGATTACTTAAATAAGCTTCAGATGTAGTTAGTTCGAGAACTGTGACTCACCCAGATTGGAAGTGTGATTTACAATCCCATTTCCGCCCCTTACTGAAACAGCATCCTTGGATTCTGAATACAAACTTCCACTCAAAATCAATTTTTCCTTTGTGTCCAGCTCCCTCCGAATTCCAACACCCCCCCCCCCCCTTTTTATTTTTTTGAAACAGGATACAAAGAATTAGAGCAAAAGATCGCTGATCTTCTGTTTCGAAGTTGGAAAACCCTAAACACTCATCCCAAGGGAATAATCAACACACCACCTTCTGACATAAAAGGTCTATAACGAGGTTTAGAAGACATCTCCACTCTATGAGCATATGCCGGCCATCAATTGGCAGAAACTTTGCAACAAGCAGATTGGATCAACACCTATCTCACCAATATCAACTTTCTAAGGAATCAGAAATGTAAATAGAGGAAAAATAAAAAAAATCCAGAAAACAACCAAAAAAAAACATTGAATTCTCTAAACATTTCTCCTCAGTTTTAACACCTATACTAGCACATCATATTGCTTATCTGGTACCCTTCAAAACAAAACGACTAGGTGATTTTGCCTAGTGTATGCATTACGTAAGAACATATACTGTAGCAAACACATCTATAACAACTACCTGGAATCAAAAATTGTTCGGGATGTGTTAATCATATAACAATTTGTCAAGAAAATGATTTAGCAAGGATTTCAGAAGTACATAAGAGAGTATCTAAGAGTTCATATTAATTGCGGTAAAAAGAAGGGCTTGGGTACTAGTGAATGTTAGGAAGAAAAAAATACAGAATCCAGGTAGTTATCCCAAAAGTACTTGGACTATATTTGCAATTATTCACTGTGGATCACTGAAGTACATGCAGTGAAACTGGATTGCATGCTTCAATGAATGGTAGCACTGGCGCATAATTCAGATTACAGACCTTCTTAATAATCAATAGAAAATGTAGTCACACTTACTACAGTTTCCCTATCATCCATCCACAAATAGCATCAACAGGTCCGCGGGATTGTTCTTCTACTATGCAGAGAAATTCAGCACCAACTAATATGCATGGATCAGCTCTGCACAAAGCTCATGGCGCGACCACCCAATAACCATAATGAACAACAACACATTACCAACAATTTTTAACCAGCTTCAACATCCATATATATGAGCACTATTAGAGGTCTCCTTTTGACCCTTAGCTTACTATCAACTATTCTAACATTGCCCAGGCATCTCAGATCAGATGTAAACATCATGAAGTTCAAAACTTTATATGCTTATCCACTAAATGAGAAAGAGGTAAAAATGGACTACCACAGTCAATCAGTCTAAAAGTCGATGTTAGAGTACTAAAATAAGATTTACTTATCACAAAGCAATGAGTTTTTGTTGCATAAATATAGAAATGTATGAATTGATATACAATATAATTTTATATTCAATACCCAATTATTTATAGCATGTCCTAGTCATGCTCCAGCCCTACTTTTTCAAGGTTTAGCATGTCAATGTTTCCATGTCGTAGTGCATCCGTGTCCCATGTCCATCTATATGATACATAGTAGAGACTGATGAAAGCAAATATATCATGCGCATCGCCCTCCGTCTGTGAATGGATGATTAGCTTTAACAGCATTCACTCTCATTATGCATGTCAATCCTCTGATGTATGTCCTGAATCAAAAACCATGAAGCTTTGCAAGCAATTTTATAGAAAAACCTCTAATTAAAGAATTATGTGGATGAAATGTGTGTTAAGGGTTGATTAAATACCATCTCTATAATTGACTTAGATGAATCATGACAAAAAATGAATATTAAAATGCTAAAATATATTGAGAAGTGAGAACGGTCAAGGGTTAACTGGACACAACTCAAATTTACTTCACCCACAATATCAGACCAAAATATAGTATGATATTCCAAGAGTAGGTTCACGAAAGAAAATTATAAAATTATGGTAAGAGACGTAGTGTTAGCTGATTGATAACTTGAACAGCACTCCAAAACTCAATGCTAAGAAATATACTAGAAGCAAAAACTGCATCAGTCCAATGTAATTGACACTAGGCCTGGCAATCATGCTGGGGTCATTTCAATTCGTGTCAAGTCTTAGTGGGTTTGTGTCAAAAATTACTTCACCGGTATACGACTCATTTATTAAATGGATGCAACTTGCAAAAGCGAACACCATTCGTTTATTAAACGAGTTACACAACTCGACCCCTATTTTTTTTTTTTTTTTAGGAGGGGAAATTCTTGACCCCTATTACTTGCTAATTCTATAACAAAAAAAAATTCTCAATTAAAAGCTCTAATTTTGAAACAAATTGCGCCATCAATTAAACAAGTAACTGGATGATAAATAGGTAATCGGGGTGATAAACGAATAATTGAGTGATATATCAATTTATTAAACAGGTTAAGGTTCTCCACCCAAACACGACTCATTTATTATGCAAGTTATGCGGGTCTATCCTTTTACCACTCAAACCCATTAAAATCAAACCTAAACCCGCTAATTTCATGTCTATTCATGTTAGGTAACCAGGTTGTCTTTACTTGAGAGTAATGATATATAAGAGGTTAAATTCACAAATAGACAGGACCAAGAAAGACCTCAAATATATCTGTGAACAAAAATTATCATTTAACAGTACATATGTCGTGAAAAAGTAACTTTTCTTACTCGGTGAACAATGATTTGATAAGGGGCAGAGTTTCACTTCACCAAAATGAAACACGAAAGACCGACTTCATGATTAGAGTTGGAATCCCAAGGCATTGGATTTTAATGGGTCTTACTGGTCTGGGCTTACATATTTTTATAAAAGAACTGCAGCTCAATGGTCGAGGCCATTGTATGAATGTTAATAGCCTCTTTCTAGCAAGCAAATAGCATGGTTATTTGACTAATTTTGCCTAATTAATAACTAAAATTCCCTAAAAGCACAACATTTCGACATTAAGATAAGGGTTCCATTGAAACTAGCCATAACTCTCCAATACACACAAAAAGAAATTTCAACCATCACATTAACGATATTGGCACTACAAATATTCAGAATTGAGTTGTAGCAATATAATGCTACTAGTGATATCATATCATCCCAATGCTGAATTGGTCACATTTCCCGACTAACTGAACTTGGGGCCTGAATAGGCTGTCCAGCATCGCTGTGTGTTGCAAGACTAATTTTCTCACTATTGTTCAGAAGAGGATGTGGAAAGACATGGATAGACTTGGCGGAAGTCCTGGAAGAAAATTTGGGAGCATAACAGTATCTAATATGTTAGTATTATACTATATATATCCACCTATGAATCACTCACTAATACACAATTAGTCTTTGTAAGACAGATTACCTTCAAATTGAAGATAACCTTACTCAGTCCAGGACCACCCACCCTGTTGCCATTTGTCAACCTAGCTGGGATAAAGAAGTAGGATGTCCACTATCCAGCATATATGCCTAAAGCTGACATGTCTGAGTAATGGATAAGAAGCCTCTCCTATCTTTCACCAACCAGCAAATCAAGCTTTAGCTTCAAGTCAATTTTTAAATGAGGCCATTTCAAGGTATGCTGCTCATATGTATAGAAAGATATGCTGTACATAAATGCTGCTCAGCATGGTCATAGAACTAGCTTCTGATATTAATTGCACAGCAGTTGTTTTCTTTTATCACCTATAAATAATTTGATACAACTCACAAACTCTAGATTGTGTGAAAACAATTATTTTTCCAGAAAGTGAGAGTGATTTGAATATAATCTATTCACAGCATATAATAAAATCAATAACAAAGAACTTCGTCTCTTAATAGACACCAAAAGAAAGGTACAGAAAACCAAAAAACATGAAATTCACTAGTGCTAAAACAGTTGCTCTACTCTATACTTATCTTTCTCCTCAAACATGAAAAAGACTACAACTATTCAACACAAGGGCATCATCCGGCTTCAGGCCACCTATTTTGATTTCTACACAATTCATGCAAAAACAGAAGACAAAATAGTCTGCAATCACGAACACATACACATAATCCAATAGGTTCAACCCCATGTTACCAAGATAGAAATCATTTGTCAAATTTGTCAATAATATTATTATATACTAGCCAAATTTGAAAGAATTAGCCAATTAGATTCCAATTATGAATATAATTATGGAACCAATCAGAAATGTTGAACCCAAACTTCCTCCTCCCTTTCTAAGGAAAAAGGAAAATTCCACAAAATTATCATATAAACACCCAGTTCTGCAAAGATCAAAGACTGCAATCAAATTCAATTCTTTCTGCTGCTATGAGAGAGATGTAAAAGATAT